GGCAAGGAGTGAACGTCGTCCGGTCGTCGCGCGGAGTCAGCTCAGTTGGCCTGGACAACGGCACGAGAGACGAGTCTGTACATTTCGAGGTGGAGGCAAGAGGAGCGGCTGAAGAGGCGACCCAATTGGCTGGGGCGCCTAGAGAAAGGGTCAACAGACTGGACGGACCAGCTCCGTGAGGAGGGTTGAATGGGTTGGCGGTGAACGAGGCTGCAGCGACCGGAGTGAAGGCGTCGGGAGAGCAGATGGTGCCGCCGCCGCCGCCGCCGCCGCCGCTGCCGGCCGGTTGGAGCGCCAGCCAGGCCTGGATTTCGCTGCGCTGCTGTAGATCGCCGAGTCGAAGAGTGACGAAGCCTGAACAATGGCAGTCAACAGGTGAAATGAACAACAACTGGGCATGTGGAGTGAATTTGCAATGGCCAACCAAAGCATGTGATACTTCAGTAAGATCGCGAAATAAAAAAAACGACTAGGGTTGCAACCGGCCACTTTTTCTCTTGGTCCACTATATTTTTGCTCTATTTTCGTAAAGTATGAAATCTTGCTCACAGGACGATGAGCCGAGGACTTCTTGGCACAATTCAACAGTTTTCCCTACGCGGCAATCCTCATTCGGCATCCGGTGAGACCACAGCACAAACTACTTCTAATCAACTTTCCCATCGAAATGGAGAGTCATTCATCAACAGATGAAAGTCAAAAAGATGTAAAGAGAATATGGGTTTTGAAGAAGCCCTTAGTAGAATGATATATCGTCCTACGAACCCGATGACTCCCTGCCCAGCTTCCGTCCGTCATGTCGTGGACATCGTCACAGCCAGAAACCATTACTCACGAACAATCACCCAAAGACACCAAACCCCAATCCAAGATCCTATTTAATTCTTATACCCTCATTCGGTATCCGGCGTGGTCAATCTATGAATCCCTTCCGTACACCTTCTCAAACGAAGTGAAAGTTGTGACAAAGTCAAGCAAAGACGTATAAAAAGAAGTAAAGCCAGAATAGACATAGTACTATTAATAGCATAAGTAGTGTTGATATGGATGGAGAAATTAAAATGGGCAAAGTAAGACAAAGGAAAGGCATATGCATTAAAAACAATAATAATTACGATATGCAAATAATAGGGAAATAGTAAAGTAATAATGAAGAAGCCTACACTCAGATGAACAGATATATCCTTTAAAAAATAGGGTTTACCTTTTGTCTTTAAAGCATCGGTTCGACTAAATGCTTCGACATGTATTCAACTGCAAATAATACGTCTGTTGAGGTGTATCTTGCGTCCATCGTGAAGTTGGTACGTTTCAAAGCGAATTGCGTAAAATGCCTACTAAAAGATTGTCTCTAATTAAAGAGTAAAGTAGCTATTGTGATGGAACAGAGTAAAGAAGCAACCTTAGATGCATGTGTAATAATGACCTATTGTATGCTTAGACTTTCGCATGCAGGATCACATCGCAAAGAGACAATCCTTCAGGCGGGTACATCCAAAAAGTACACCATTTCCTGCCGCATGCCTTCAAAAGCGCTTGTCATGGCGCAGCCAAGCCAAATCCTCTTGTCAGTGGTGTTGAGTTTACAGGCATTTTTACAAGAAATATAGACGGGCCCACGTCTTTGGGCGTCAAATGCTTCTGTCCGGGCCGAGAAAGGCAAAGTCGTGACGGACGCGTAAATGTCAGAAACCGGTCGCCTGCCGCAAGAATG